GCTGAGGACACTCACAAACCCTCCTACCCTTTATGAAGCACATCACCCCATCTTTCCGCATCATTCCTCGCCTGCCTTGTCCCCTGGCTTCCTCAGACGTTTGCATTTGAACCCCAGCCGTTTCCGGGGGAACCCGAAGAGTTCGGCGCTCAGCTTGGTGCCAGTCTCCAGAGAACCTAGTGAGGGGACCCACGGGAGCCGGGGGGTGGGGGTGGGTGGGTGAGGATCACTGGCAATGCGGAGGCAGGGACCAAAAAGACCAAAACGTTTTTTATCTTTGAAAAGAAAGCAAGTCCCTCTCCGCGCTCTAAACCGGCACGGGGTGGGACAGTGTGTGCGTGGGAGGCAAAGTGGGGGTGTGGGGGCGCGCGGGAGCTCTGCTTGCGGCGGGAAGAGCCGCAGCGCCCCCTGGAGGCCGGCATTGCTCACTGCGCGGCGCGGGCTCCGGGGCGGACCTCTGGACCCGAGGCTGCGCTGGGAGCAGCAACATCAAGTGCGCAGCACGGGGTTGGCCTGGACCTGTTGTCCAGGCCTATAAACCACTCTACTGCCGACACTGGTAAATTTGTGGAGGTCCTGTTTGGTGGCCTGCCCCGGCGACACTCTTCCTGGTTAGAGGGACCACTATGGCTTTCCAGAGCAAGAGGAAAGACTCCAGTTGTCACCCTGAGCGGGGAGTGTGCTGGAGGTCCTGTTCCCGCCAACTCAGATTCCTGCACTGGGAACGGGCTCCCGGAAGAGCTGAGCTGTACTCTCCAGAAGCCAGAGAGCTGGAATGGGTGGGCCCGTGGGTGGCACCGTGTGTGTGTGGGGTGGGGTGGGGTGGGATGGATATGAAGTGGAGAACGACTTCTGGGGACTGAGAGACAAGGTCCACCCCATCCCTCCAGAGGGCCAGGCCCTCCTGCCCTCCCAGTCCCCAGTCTCCAGAGGGGCCAACCCAGCCTACTTCAGGCCGCTCTTCCACTGGAACTGAGAGGAGATGCGATGTTCGATGTTGTGATGGGCTCGGGCCGCACAGGAGGGCAGTGAATGTCCAGAAAGGGCAAGCAGGGGGGCGGACGCAGGGTCTGGGCTGGAGGACGAATTACATGGTCATGGCTGGGGGCTGGGCGAGCCTGGCGGGGTCAGCGAAAGCAGAGCAGCCTGGAGGCAGCCCTGGCGATGCTTCGGTCTTTGAGGTTGGGGAGCGCCTGGCAACTTTTCAACACCCGCAACCCCGAGAGGTCACTGGCGAAACAAGCCAGCTTGGGATTGGCTTGGGCATGTGCTGGGCGGGGTCGAAAAGCGCGTGGGAAGCGTCGGTGGACTTCGCCTTTAGTGGTCTCAGGGAAGCGGACTCCTTGCAGAGAGAGCCAACTCATCTCCTAGGCTCCCAGGTCAAATCAGAGCTTCGAATTCCCGGTGCTTTTCTTTGCGTTTCCAGAAGGCAGGGACTGGACGGCAGAGGGCAAGATCGAGGCGCCTCCGAGGCCGGAGCGACCTGTAGAAGGTTTCCGTCCGCAGGCTCTTGTCATCTGTCTAGCTGGCGCTGACCCGCGTGGGATTCAAACGACCACCGGACAAAAAGGCTAAGGCAGAATGGGAAAGCTGCAATTTTTTTTATTCGACTTTCATTTATTTGCTTGCTTGCTTGCTTGTTTTTTAACCAATTTGCCAGGGCTCGGACCTTGGGGAAATTCAAACAAAAATCTTGATTTCCTATGAGCTGCACTGGGTCGGCTGGAGCCTCCAATGCTGCGCTATGGGGAACGCAAAGAAAAGCACCGGGAATTCGAAGCTCTGATTTGACCTGGGAGCCTAGGAGATGAGTTGGCTCTCTCTGCAAGGAGTCCGCTTCCCTGAGACCA